TTTGATTTCAATAGCCTCGCGAATCATCCTTGGAAGGAATCGGTGTTCTTTAGCGAGGATTTGTGGTCTATCAAATCTAATGTAGTGACGGGGGCGATCCTGTACGTGTTCACAGACTGCAGACTTCCCGGAGCGTCTATTCTTCACATCAGCTATGTGTTCTTTAACGCGGGTTTTTATGGATCTTTTAGTTTGTCCTATATAAGAGAGACCACATTCACAATCCAGCTTGTACACTCCTGCATCTTGCAGAGGAATATTACACTTGACTGATGGTAAAAACTGACTAATCTTCTTCGGCGGCTTGAAATATGTTTTAATGGAAGCACGCTTCAAGATGTAGCCAATCTTGTCAGTGACACCTCTGACATATGGCAGTACAGCAGGCACTCGCTCGACTGTGGCCGGCTTCACTCGTTCACTGTGACGTAGGCGCGGGACCCGAAGCTTATTGTCGTGCAAAACTTGCTTGACGTGTTGGAGCTCGGCGGCCAGGTGTTTACTGTCACAGATCCCTCGTGCTCTCTGAAACAAAGATTTACCCACGGTAGCTAACTGTGAAGGATGGTGGTGAGAATCACCGTTTAAATATCTATCTGTATGGGTCTTTTTTCTATACACAGTGTGGCTCAAGGTGTTATCAGGATTCCGAATTACTAACACATCTAGAAAAGCTAAAGAATTGTTTGCCTCTAACTCCATTGTGAACTGAATTTTAGAATTTAAGGAGTTAAGATGGTCTAAAAATGCAGTTACTTTATCTAAAGGTAGAATTGTGAAAGTGTCGTCTACGTACCGCTTGTAGAATCTTGGCTTTATGGGAGAAGTAAGCAGGGCTTTCTCCTCAAAGTCCTCCATGAATATATCGGCAACAATGGGAGATACAGGTGAGCCCATCGCCACACCATCTACTTGCTTGTAGAACTCCTCCTTCCACAATAGGTAGCCAGATGTAAGGCAGTGTCTGAGTAATACTGCATATTCTACGGGCATGTTATTTTCCTCTAGCCTTCTAGTAACAATTGAGATACGTCAAGACATTTCGTCTATGTTACGTCGAAGTTCAGCGCCAAAACCGAATCTACCTAAAGACGAATTCAAAGCGTTGACTAACCTACGCAATAAACCAGAACTCACGATTCTCCGCGCAGATAAGGGAAATGCCACGGTAGTTATGGATACGTCAGATTATAATTCTAAAATACAAGAACTTTTGTCGGATGCAAGTACGTATAAAAAGGTTAAAAATGACCCAACAAATAACACACTTAAAACAACTAGTGATCTCATAAAGAAACACTCCGAAAAATTAAATATAGACGTAAAATCGATAATACCTACGTGTGCTAAACCACTGAAGTTGTATGGGTTACCAAAAATACACAAGCCCAATGCTCCACTACGTCCTATAGTGAGCCAAATCGATTCACCAACTTACAGATTGGCTCAACACTTAGCGAATATACTCTCACCGCTCAAGGGACATACAAGAGCACACACAAAGGATTCCTACCAATTTGTCAGCGAGATTAAAGACCTACATCTGGCAGACAATGAAACTATGGTGAGTTTTGATGTGCAGTCTCTGTTCACATGCCTACCTGTTGAAGACTGCATCTCAATTGTTACTAGAAGGCTAGAGGAAAATAACATGCCCGTAGAATATGCAGTATTACTCAGACACTGCCTTACATCTGGCTACCTATTGTGGAAGGAGGAGTTCTACAAGCAAGTAGATGGTGTGGCGATGGGCTCACCTGTATCTCCCATTGTTGCCGATATATTCATGGAGGACTTTGAGGAGAAAGCCCTGCTTACTTCTCCCATAAAGCCAAGATTCTACAAGCGGTACGTAGACGACACTTTCACAATTCTACCTTTAGATAAAGTAACTGCATTTTTAGACCATCTTAACTCCTTAAATTCTAAAATTCAGTTCACAATGGAGTTAGAGGCAAACAATTCTTTAGCTTTTCTAGATGTGTTAGTAATTCGGAATCCTGATAACACCTTGAGCCACACTGTGTATAGAAAAAAGACCCATACAGATAGATATTTAAACGGTGATTCTCACCACCATCCTTCACAGTTAGCTACCGTGGGTAAATCTTTGTTTCAGAGAGCACGAGGGATCTGTGACAGTAAACACCTGGCCGCCGAGCTCCAACACGTCAAGCAAGTTTTGCACGACAATAAGCTTCGGGTCCCGCGCCTACGTCACAGTGAACGAGTGAAGCCGGCCACAGTCGAGCGAGTGCCTGCTGTACTGCCATATGTCAGAGGTGTCACTGACAAGATTGGCTACATCTTGAAGCGTGCTTCCATTAAAACATATTTCAAGCCGCCGAAGAAGATTAGTCAGTTTTTACCATCAGTCAAGTGTAATATTCCTCTGCAAGATGCAGGAGTGTACAAGCTGGATTGTGAATGTGGTCTCTCTTATATAGGACAAACTAAAAGATCCATAAAAACCCGCGTTAAAGAACACATAGCTGATGTGAAGAATAGACGCTCCGGGAAGTCTGCAGTCTGTGAACACGTACAGGATCGCCCCCGTCACTACATTAGATTTGATAGACCACAAATCCTCGCTAAAGAACACCGATTCCTTCCAAGGATGATTCGCGAGGCTATTGAAATCAAAAAATATCCTAATTTCAATAGAGAAGATGGCTGGGTGCTACCATCTGCTTGGGATCCCATAATTAATAAAATTAAATCCCAACCCAAGCATACAACTGCAAGACTTCATGATACTGTTAGTTCATACTGCGTAGATCGGAACAAAAATTAATAATTTTTAATCTGGAGGTAGCCGTGGTTAACTATGACATTGGGACGTCATACACCTCAGTCCCCCCCGTGACCATGGGTGCTGTAAAGTGCTTGAAACGTCGGGAAAGTAAAATAAGTTAATATACGCGATAAAATCCGTAAAATTAGTTTTATTTAATAAACTTTTGTTGATTATTAGTTAAAAAATAACTGGAATCATCATTTATTATAAATTTATTACAGCCCGTCACATGTCAACTGTTGAACATAGGCCTCCTCCAAGGAAGGACTTCCTGCGCGTCTTACCAGGTTGTCGCAGTGGGGTTACTTTTCGCTTAGGTTGTGGGTTCTTCGAGCTAGTATATGGATGGGCGATTGCTACTTATGAGCCGGCAATTCAACCTACCTTGTAGAAGCCGAACTTAACTTCAGTAATAGATAGTAAAAGGATAAGCCGTGTAGTGGCGCCTTAAGAGTATCCAGTTACCCATATCATCCCGTGGCTGACGTAAGAAGTGACAGAGTGAAATGAAACAGGACATGAGCAGCAGCATCTTTAACAAATTAATAAAAAAACTGCGGCTGCCAGTCCGCCTGCCAAGTGTGCCAACTATAGCAGATATCAGATATGCAGTAATTCACGAGGAGGCCGATGTTCGGTTTTGGACTTTTAGATAGGCTGTAATGAATGAATGATAATGAAGAAATTAGTATGAAAGTCTCGCTGCTGGGGTACCCGATAAAAAAAAAAAACATAATATGCAATTCAAGTCAGAATAGGACTGCCTTGGCGCCATATTATGATGTCACAGCTGTCAATTCAAACCAATTACGTAAAGTTAGCAAAACAGATATTTTTTAAATATTATTTATTTACACATATAAATAAAAGAACCACGAAAGAAACAGTTTTAATCGGATTCATGCACTTCAATTCCGCTCATCTTTGCATCACGTTTTTTTTTCTTTTTGTTCTTTTTCAAAAAATACTAGTAACGCTGTTAAACATTACTAATATTTCCTTTAACCACTTCTGGTAAGCTTAAAATGATTGTGTTAGAAGTGGTTCACGACAGTAGTCGAATGGTGGATTCGAACCCACGACCTTTCGAGTTTGCGGTCCGCGGCCTGCCATTAGGCTACTGACGCTTTAAATCACTGTCTGAGTAGTCATCGTCATCATCATCATCACCACTGCTCAAATAAATAGAACATGTATTTATGTAGGTATGTTTTTAAAATATTCTACTGTCAGTTACTTAAAAGAAAGTACTCGTGTTTCTGATAAAACATTGCCGGTATTAATCTTTGATTTGTTTGACGTGGTTTCTTTCTACACTCGTCACTTTAATTAAATCAATTGCTTCTAGTCTAATGCTCTAATTTGGCTTTCTAACTGTTGAACATTTTTGTCTTATGCTCAATCAAGTGCCAGATATATTTACTTGGATTGAAATCGCAATAGTAGAGGAGCAGCCTCAAAACTTCGAAACTATGGGACTTAAAAATATTCTCTATGACATTGTTTTTTTGGCAGTTTGTGGCCTTTTTATCAAAACGTAGAGTTCCGCTTTTGTAAAATGTACCTAATATTCAATATTCTTTTCTCTCAACGTTGACTGAATTTCTGCTGTTTTCGAGTTCATATTTAGGGGCTTAGAGACTTCTATGTTATGGTGGATTCATGTCCTCTTTGATTTTTGACGAAATATTGCCAATAATGAAAATATAAAAAAATAGTTTTAAATCATTTTTAAAACTAATTATGACTTCAATAGATTTGGTAATGTTAAGACTGATCCCATTCTCTGTCGCTGTACTCAAACGAGTACAGTTGTTTAAAAATGAATTGACTAAATATGTGAGGGTATGTTATTTATTATTTTAATAAATTAAATAGAGGGTAGACTCATTTTTTTTTTGAGTCGTGCAAATTGAAGGTATTTCTAAAATATGTGTCATTTGGAGCAACTGGATTTCATGTTATTGGACTAGCGTGCAAGTGAGTAGTATTTTTATTATATTTTATTATTATTATTAGTGTAAATGTTGTTTTTTGTAATAATTGTGATAAGATATAGAGTAATCTATAATGTGAGTTACAAAATTAGAAACAATTATTGTTTATTACTAACTTTAGATGAAGATTTTTACTGATGTACTCAGTTGAGTACACTGGTCACTTCAATAGATAAAAGTTACAACTTTGTTTCAGTTTACCAACAATGAGTCGCAAGATGTTTTACGGTTCAAATAGCTTTATAGGACTTGAGGAAGCAATTGAAGCAGTCACAGCAGATAGTGATGATGACCGTGCATATGATTTGGCGATAATACCACCTGATCCCAGTGTAGTGACTGACGAAGAGGAAGGGTCTGATGAAGAGGAAGGGTCTGATGAAGATATGGTGACATATACGTTGCCACGAGATGTGCCCGGAAATATTGAGGTTTTGGTGCACGATGAAGATACTTTGTTGAGTGACTATGATTCCAGTGACGAAGAACCATTGGCTTCAAAACGAGTTCGTCGACAGCCTAACATTGAGCAGCGGCAGCAAACTCCAGCCTGGAGAAAATGTTTACCATCATATACTTTTGGCCATCAGCATACGTCTGAGGTGCAAGATAAACAGAATGCTATAAAGGAACAGCTAAAAGACCAAAATCCTGTACAGATTTTTGAAAAAATACTGGATGAAGAAGTATTACAGCTCATATTATGTAATAGTATTTTATACGCTAATCAAAACAATATACACTCTTTTCAACTTGATTTACCAGACCTAAAAAAGTTCATTGGTATTTTCATTTTGTCGGGATATCACAAATTGCCTCGGGAAGCATTATATTGGTCTCTGGATGAGGACGTCGGAGTTGCGCTAGTTTCAAGAGCAATGTCGAGGAATAAATTTCGTGAAATAAAAAGATATCTTCATCTTGTGAATAACGATGAAGCATCAAATTCCAGAGATAAAATGTTCAAAATTAGATCCCTAGCAGACATACTGATGACCAAATTCAATCAATGGGGTGTATTTCATGAAAATATTTCAATTGATGAGTCGATGGTCAAATATTATGGACACCACCCCAGTAAGCAATTTATACGAGGCAAGCCAGTGCGTTTTGGATATAAGAACTGGGTTGCTGCAAGTTTCACTGGGTACTGCTACAAATTTGATTTTTACTGTGGAAAATCACTTTATTCTTCTGACGAACCTTTGGGTACCAGAGTTGTGAAGTCTCTGTTGTCAAAATTGGATACCGACCCAAAAAATCACAAAGTATTTTTTGACAACTTTTTCACTAGCTGTAATCTTTTGTTTGATTTAAGAAATCTGGGATACTGCGCTGGAACAGTTCGTGAGAATCGCACTAAAAAGTGCCCATTGGCAGCCATTAAGGAGATGAAGAAGAAAGAGAGAGCGGCTTTTGATTACAGTTTCGATATAAATAATGAACTGTTGTTGGTCAGATGGAAAGACAATAGTGTCTGCACGATAGCTACTAACTATGATTACTTTGAACCAATGGGCACGGTAAAAAGATGGTGCCCAGAAATGAGACAGAAAACCGATGTAAGGATTCCGCTTTTATTTGAAAACTACAATAAAGGTATGGGTGGAGTCGATGAGCTTGATCAGTCCATATCATTATACAGGATCGGGAATCATGGCAAAAAGAGGTGGTGGGTTTTATTTACATACTTGTTGGACATGGCCGTTTCAAACTCTTGGCGTTTACATGTTATGAGCAAGGATGACCCTATGGATCAACTCTTGTTTCGACGTAGTCTTGCCAGATACTATTTGCGACAAGAAACTCTAAAAAGAGCTAGACCATCTTCTTCTTTGATCGAAGGATTGCCTCAAGATGGTTCAAGCCACTACCCAAGGAAGCTTGAAAAGCAATTACGGTGCGTCATTTGCCATGCAAGGGTCCGATGGGAATGCAAGAAGTGTTTGAAAACACTCTGCGTTGAAAAGTCATGCTTCGAAAAATTTCACACATAAGTGGCCGCTGTACTCAAACAAGTACACCCCTGAAAAAGTATAAAAAAATAATAAAAAATTTTTTTTGTTTAATTTTATGTTTGCTAGTCCTGCCTAGATTAACAAAATAAATATTTTTCGTTAAAAACGTTTTTTATTTGATTTTGGCCACTAATGGGTAATAAATAAAAAAGTGGAAAATTAACTTTCAACAATCCTATTGTATTTGTAAAAAAATATATTTCAGCATACTGTATGATGGCCTATACTTATCGAAAGAAAATACTTCAAATTTTCCTCTCATTCCATTACTAATATCAGAAACGAAATATTAAGAGTTCATTATTTGGCAGCAGAACCCTAAAAAATACTTTTGTAATAGATCGAGACAGATAACGAGAGTTGCCGTTAAGTGTCGTAAGGTTGTTTAATGAAAATGTGAATTGGCATTGTTGAATTTCCGCACGTACACACATGTGTATTAAACGTGAACGCAGCTTAATTACATATGTGTCGCTTGTAGAAGTATATTTCCATTTCTTTTGATCCGACTGAAATGTAAATTGTCTACATATATTGAATTCTTCTGCTGAACTCCTCCTCAACGGCTGGACTTATTTTGATGAAATTTTGTGTGTGATCAAGTTGATTCACTTTTGACACAATTGAATTCGGTAGGTGGCGCTGTTGCCGAGATTCAGAAATCACCCTTGCGAAGCCGAGGCAGATCGCTGGTATTCTTATAATCCTTAAATATCCTAAAATATTTTCCTAATAATTTACCTATTATTACTAAACTATTTTTAAGATATTTGCAGTTTTGCATTACTGGCCATTCTAAATTAAAATAAGTTTTGTTTGGCTAAGAATTATAATTTCAAATTAATTTTATTTTAAAAACATGGATTTCTTTTTTCAAAATTAGTCTTTTGTTTATTGATTAGCGTTATGTTTTCATCGCATTTTAATATTTTTCGTCATCACGGAAACGTTAAAAAACGAGTAATTATGGAATATGAGTACCGTCGTAGCAGCAACGCGACACAAGCGGCATGCAACATGAACGACGTTTATGGAGCGAGTAATACGAACTAACGCACCTCCTGTTATTGGCTTGCCTGCTTTCGTTCTGGAAAATTCGACCCAATAAATGAACCCCGTGGTCGTCCGTGGCGATTTTGGAAGCTGACGATACTCAATCTACGGCTTAATTAGCAGCAGCTTTAGACGTTAGCATCAAAACAATATTGGTTTATTTGCATGAAATTGGCAAGGTAAAGAAACTTGACAAATGGTTGGCCCACAAACTTAATGATCGCCAGTGTGAAGTTCGCCTCGAGACGTGCCTTGCACAGCTCAACAGGCACACAAACGAAGGAATTTTGAACCGCATTGTTACCTGCGACAAAAAATGGATTCTGTTTGACAAGCGCAAGCGCTCATCAAGATGGTTGGATCCTGGTTCAACAACTAAATAATGCCCTACAAACGAATACTTACCTTTAGAAAAGTGATGGTCCTGTTTGGTGGTCTAGCGCTGGTGTGATTCTTCACAGCTTCTTACCAGTCGGGATGAGCATTGCTGCAGATGTGCACTGTGATAATTATGGAGAAGCTTGCACGTCTCCAACCAGCTGTGGTTAATCGCTCATCAGTGCAACCGCATCAGCAGCGGGGCTCCTGCACGATGAAGCGCGACCTTATAATGCACAGCAGACGGTCTCTAAGCTACAAGAGCTGGGGTAGGAAGCTCTCCGTCATCCACTGTACTCAACAGAATTTTGCGCCTGGAAACTTCTACTTTTCTAGAATTTGGATAACTTTTTGGCGGGAAAAAAAATCAATACCCGAGAGGCAGTTTAAAATACCTTTGAGAATTTGTTGCCTCCTATCCAGCTATTTTTTTCAAGAAGAGCATCGATAAATTGCCACTGTGTTGGAAAGGATGCATCCTTTCCTGAAATAAAAAATATAGAAAAAAATTACATTAAATTATTTCATAAAAAACGGCAATTTCATAGGTAAATACCTAGTATATTATTTTTTGCTCCATGATACGATACATATAGAACTTTATTCATAAAATATGCTAAACTGAAGTTTTTCATCCCGCTCACGTTCCGTGTGCATCACGTGGACGCTGTGAACAAGTCCACGATTTTCCTACGAGATATCATTTTTTATGTTTGTTTTACATATTTTGTATATCTTACTATTTCAGTAAAATGAAAAATATAAATTTTCAGTTAATTTCTTTTTTTTCGATTTGCACAATATGGGCTGGTGGATATTCTTACATCGCCACTACACGGTGTACAAGTACACAATTCCCATTACAGCCTATCAAAAGTTCACTGCTGAACATAGGACTCCCCCCTGGTCTGTCTCATATATTATCCCCCATATTTGTCACCGTTGCCGCGATTAGCAAGCAAGTTTTCAACTGCAGTTTTTTATTTAGCTGTTGTCAGCAAAATAGTGTTGTTCGTTTCCTGGTTCCGCTTTTTTCTGTTGTCTATTATCTCTAGAGACGATATGAGATAGTGGATAAACCGCCACCCAGTGTTACAATCCGTTACAATGTAACTAAAAATATGTACTATATTCCTAAGATAAGGGATCACATTAATTTTGTTTATCACTCAATGCTAATTAAATTTAGACAGATTTGACACCATAACTTTATTCCCCAAAGCAAGTCGTTAAAGGAGTTGAAATCCTAGAGCACTGTAATTTTGGCAGATTGCTCTAACTTTTTCTTTTGATTTAAGAAAATTCAAATTGTTCACAAACTAAGTCCACGAAAATTTACCCCAGAATCAAAGGTTGGGAACATCGAACCAAATTTGCAATTCAATGCTTTAAATTAGAAACGAACGAAACGAAACAATTTTACTATAAAATCTAATATAAAATATTTGCAGCTTTTAGGCTGTAGTAAAATTATTTCAACAAAAGTTTTAAACGGGGAGTCAGTAATTTGCAAAATTTTTTAGTAATTTGGAACGAAAATTGTAAACCATAATAAACATAAAAAAAATTAACAAACGACTCCAAAAAATAAAAATAATGTTTGAATTTTTTATTCCTTTTTGTGTTTGAAGTAAGTTTTTGAGGCAGTCATTTTCAAAAATTTTTAATATTTTGGAACGAAAATTGTATACCAAAATAAACTTAAAAATCAACAAAGGACTCCAAAAAGGAAAAATAATGTTTGTATTTTTGAATCTTTTTAGTTTATGAAGTCAGTTTTTACTTCGTTCAAAGTTTTTTTACCCCTTTTTTAAGGAATGTTACAAGATCGACGTAACAAATCTTTATCCACAATTTTTCCATAATGTTATAAGTGTAATTTTTTCTTAGTTTTTTGTGATATTACTCCGGAAGTCCTATTTGATAAAAGAAGAATCATTAAAATTGATTCATAAATAAAGAAGTTATGCCCAAATAAACATAAAAGAAATGAACAGACAAATTGAGAATCTCTTTCTTTTTAGAAGTCGCTTATAAACACTACATTCACTCTTGACTTAAAATCTGATAAATGTGGACATTTCATCAAATTACAAAGGATTCAACTAGGTACACTACTCTTTGCTTGCATATTGGTGAGGCTTCCATACAATACAGTACATTTCAATTAGACCACGGAAACATCATCATTGTGACGTAATTTTATGTGATATAAAATTACTATTGATACAATAAAAACCATACATTTGTGATTAATAACATAACATAAATATTCACGGCTGTTTGGCCGATAAATTTTCCGACTCTTTTTGACTCTGCCACTCACTTCTGCAACATACATTTTCTTTGTCACTCCGTCCTTATTTATTCTTACTACATGCCATATCACCGAGGCATTTCTTTCTTAATCCTGACAAACATTTTTGCTACACACTTTGATTTCATAGTAAAACTGAACAAAATTTAAATATCACAATATAAAATTAAATTATAAAATCATTATTCGTACATTCATAATACAATCATAAAATACAGTATTAAAATGAATTTATTTTTCTTACTTATAAACAGACTTCAAAAAGAAGGAGGTACTCAATTCGACTGTATGTTTTTGTGTGTGTTACCTCATAACTTTGATCTACATGAACCGATTTTGATGATTCTCATCGAAATCGGTTCACGTAGATCAAAGTTATGGATCAAGGGTATAAGAATTGAAAGCCAGCTTTCAAATAAAGAGCACCAGTGCTTCTTATGTAGTCCCATATAAATTTGATCAAGTTCTGACTAATAGTTTTTAAGTTTTTCTCAATAATATGTATTGAAGTCAGTTGTACAAAATTTTTAATTTTAAATTATTCTTACGTTATTTGTCTTAAGCCAAATCCTCTATAGAGGATGAAAACTAAAAGCAAAATCAAGTTCCGTAAGACTATTTGCTTTGTGATACTCTGTATATTTATTTCCAATCAAACAAAGGAATAAAGATCAAAAGAGAAGTCGGAATACGATTTTTTTTTTGTACGCAATATCGATGATTTAAATATGAAAAGCAGCTAATATACGCAGCTAATATAGGTAATGATGCCTTTATTTTGGCTAAAACGGTCATTTAAATATAACAGTTACAAAATACACTGAGATACAGGTTTATAGATTTATAGTATATATTTATAGTGAAATTAAGTGAAATATTATATCAGAAAGTTAACAAACCTCATTAATACTGCTGTAGATTAAATTATTTTGATATAATGAAAAGCGATCTTTATAATAAATGAGAATGTACCCTTTAACTAATACTATTAATCTTCTCAAACATAAGACGTTTGAATTTAATTAAAGGATTACTTAATATTTACTTCTATGTGTAATTGTTAATAATACAAAAGTTATTATTGTAGAAATTAATACTTCGGATTTTAATAGATACAAAGTGGTTTTTGTTTGCTTTCTCTGGCTCATTTAAATATTTATTATTTAGTGTTTGGGCATGGCAGAGATCCACTATAAACTTATTTTTTTTTGTCAAATTAATTTTTATTAGT